TGGGCCAGTGAAGCGACCTCCTCCACAACTAGACTGAAGAACCAAAGGACAGCAACTTGTCTGTTCCCCTCCCCCAATTCCCCAATAACATCTTAAAAAAAAAAAAAAAGTCAGACTGAGAAAGACAAATACCATATGATTTCACTTATATGTAGAATCTAAAAAACAGAACAGAAACAAACTCAGAGATACAGAGAACATTTTGATTGTTGCCAGACTGGGGGTGAGGGATTCAGAAGCTGGGTGAAAAGGGAGACGGGATTAAGAAGTAAGTACAAACTGCCAGTTATAAAAACAGTCACGAGGATGTAAAGTATAGCATAGGGAATACAGTCAGTGATATTATAGTTACTATGTATGGTGTCAAATGGGTACTAGACTTACCAGGGTGATCACTTCTTAAGTTATATAAATACCTAATCACTATGTTGTATACCTGAAATTAATATATTAATATTGTATGTCAACTGTAATTGAAAACTGAGAAATAAAGAGTAAAATGGATAAACAGTGGTATAATCATACACTAGAATACAATACACTAATGAACCTTTCACTAACAGCAAATACCAAAGTCAGATGTCAATTCCTATTACTACAGTGGATTTATAGCAAAGCTAAAGGTTAAGGAGTCTCGCCCCTGCTTCACTTCACAAGTCAGGAACACAGGAAGCCTTTGACCAACAATACAGAGCTCTAGAAATGTGAATTTGCAATTCCTTAATTCAGATACATTTTAAAGTCAAATAATCTACAGTTATGAAAATCTTTAAATATGTATCACTCACCTTTGCTTTTAAAAGGTCAGACATTTCAGAATGATTAGTATATGGCTTTTGCTGCAGTGGCTGCCTGTGCTTTACCCACTGGTCACCAGGAGAACCGTCAGGAAACAATTGCTGACTGTGGCGGAATTTGGTTCGACTATTCCAAGATTTAAAAAAAATAAAAATCAGATCAGAAAATTTTCACTTTTAGTTCTTCCAACACGTGAGTTTATTTTTCAGACGACAAATTCTACTTCGCTATTTATTGTCTATCTCCTTCTACTGAATGTAAGTTCCATGAGGGGAGGGGCTCTTGTCTGCTTTGTCCACGATCCCCAGCAGGCAGAAGAGGATGTGGCATTCAATATTTCTTGAATGAATTAATGGTCTGTTATTTTTAATCACAAACTTTTCTAAACTGTCCACACCACCTCCTCCCTATACAAGTGATTATACTTTAAAAAATCTGAAGAAAATAATTCTTCTTAAATTTAGCTGAAACAAATGTAATTGGATTTTCCTCCTTAATAAGCAGACAACTCAGGGTGGCTGGGTGGCTCAGATGGTTAGAGCACGAGCTCTGAGCAACAGGTTGCCAGTTTGATTCCCACATGGGCCAGTGAGCTGCACCCGAGCTGAGCTGCCACCGAGCTGCCAACAGGTGGTAGGATGGCTCAGCTGGTGAAGGCACGTGCTCCTAACAACAAGGTTGCAGGTTTGACTCCTGCATGGAATGGTGGGCTATGCCCACCCATAACTAATATTGAACACGGCACCTTGAGCTGAGCTGCCCTGAGCTGCCTGTGGGTGGCCGGATGGCTCAACTGGTTAGAGCACGTGCTCTTAACAA